TTGATGACTGTACTGTGGTCCTGTATCAGATCCGTCCTGAAGTGTTTTGGGGTGAAGGGCTATGATGTCTGCAAGGTACCTGCAAATGGTTCTGCAATAACCATAATATGTAAAGAGAGAGGTAAATCGAATGTTACCATTTGGTGAACCTGGGTGAGGATACACGGGTGTTGATTGCACTTATTTCAATAAAAAGTTTTTAAGTTATAGAGAAAACACACAATCAGGCATTACTGAATGCTACTTTCTACACACACTATCACATTTTATTTTCACCACAAGCCTAGGAGCTGGGTACTACCATTTCCCAATTTTATAGAAAAGTGAGAGAGCTCAGAGAAAAGCAGTTTGCCAGGGATCTCTCAGCCACGGGGAGCCAGGATTTGCACCCAGGGCCACACTCTGTGAGTCTTGGGCCCTCCCTCTACCACCTGCCATGCCCAGACTCCCCAAACCCCGCCAGCCAGGCCATGCTGTTTCTTGCCTCCAGGCATCTCACCTGCTTTTCCCTCTGCTAGAAAGTACACTCTCCTTCCTACGCCCTCCCACACCCTTCAAGTCGCCTCCTCTCGGAGGCATTCTCGGACTCTTCAGCCTAAAATCAGGTCCCATAGGTGCCTCACTTCTCATAAGGCTCACTACATCTGTCATTATCTGTCTAATGTCAGCTCCCTCATGATCAGGAAGTACCATGAGCACAGGGCCAGTGCCTAATTATTTACTGCTATAACCCCAGGAGCTGGCCCAAGCGTCACTCAAATATTTATTGGGTTAGATTAAATTAAAAGATGTCAGAATTTCAAGAAGAGCTGCTGTTTGAAGAAACAGAGGAATGCCTGACCTGTGAGAATTGGGTCCACAGAGAATCAATGGCGATGGGACACCTCCAAGATAAGAGACTCGATAGACGAGCAGATATAGTGTACCAGTGGCAGATACAATGTATCAGTTAGCTACTGCTGTGTAACAAACTATCCCAAAATCAGTAGCTTAAAAGAATTTGCATCTGTGATTACTCATGCGTCTGCAGGTCAGTGAATTAGCCTGAGTTCTCCAGAGAAACAACTAGTAGGAGATATGGGGGGACGAGAGGGAGAGAGAGAGCAAGAGCGAGAGAGATTTTTATAAAGAATTGGCTCATGCAGTTCTAGAGGCAGTCAAGAGCCAATGGTGTAAATTCCAGTTCAAGTCTGAGTTCTTAGGCAGAAGACCAGCTCAAAGAGGCAGAGAGAAAGAATTCTTCCTTATCCCACCTCTTGTTCTAGTCAGGCGTCCAGTGGTTAGCTGAGGCCCACCCACATCGGGGAGGACCATCCGCTTTATCAGACCACAACTCAAATGTTCATCTCATCCAGAATCACCCTTGCAGACACACCCAGCGGAACTGTTAACCAAATATCTGGGCGCCCCATGACCCTGTCAAGTTGACTCATAAAATTCACCATCACAGCTAACCGGTTGGCTCTGCTCCTTTGGGCTGAGCTCAGCTGATCTGGGCTCCTGAGATGCCTGTGGTCACGTGGCAGATGAGTAGGGGACTGGCTGGTCTAGATGGCCTCACCCACGTTAGGTGGTCGGCTAGCTGTCACCAGGGGCGATGGAAGTGACCAGGCCACATGTCTCTCTTCACCCAGAAAGTTAAGCTGAGCTTGTTGTCAGGATGTGCAGGGCCCCCAGAGAGCGTGACAGAGCCCGTTGTGGCCTAGGCTCGGATGTAGGATTGCTGTTTCTGCCTCATTCTGTAAAACAAAGCAAATCACAGAGTCAGTCCCCATGCAAGAGGTGGGGAAATAGGCCCTTCCTGGGTCGGAAGAACTGTGAAGCCTCAACGCCAAGAATGTAGGTAAAATGGTGGCTGGTGGGGGATGACAGAGGTCGTTTTTGCATTCAATCTAGGACAGCTGGAATTGTGGCTGCAAAACTCCTGAGCTGTGCAACTTTCCTTCTCTTAACCAACACGGAAGGGTAATAACACCTCCCTTACATTGCTGTCACATGGATCAGTGACCAGGTCCAACAACATGTGGAGTTCCAGTTCTTTCCGTGTCCTTAACCCCCTTCTCCATATACCCCTCTAAACTCGTTAATTTCCAGCTTTCAAGGCTCACCGCCTCCAGGAAGCCCTCCATGTTGGCACTCTGACTCACCATGATCAGACATATTTTTGGGAAGCATTTCTGAACAGTAAAAGAATTGATGCCTAAAATTTCTTTGGGCATCGCTCTTTCCATTTAAGATGTCCCAAACCACATTCTAAAGCCCTTAGAGCTCAGCTTCTCTCTCTCTCTCTCTCTCTCTCTCTCTCTAAATATATATATATATAAGTATATATATATATAAAAATATATATATATTTATATATATACCAAATACACACCCAGTAACAATTACCCCCACTTCCCTCAGAGGTCCTGTTCCTCTCAGAGGAAACCATGTGACCAATTTCTCATTTATTCCCCGAGAGATGGACAAGCACAGGGATCAGCTAACATTTTCTATTCAGGGCCAGGCAGAAACATATACTTGGTCTTTTACGCAACTACCCCACTCTGTTGTTGCAAGAGAAAAGGTAGCCACGGAGAAGACGTAAATGAGTGGGAGTTCCCGTGTGCCAATAAAACTTTATTGATGGGCACTGAAATTCTGCAGCTTGCTTTTGCCCTTAATAATGTACCTCGAGGGTTATTCCACATCTATAAGTATTGACATCCTACAGCCTTTTAATTTTCAAAACATATCTTTAAAAAGATTTAATACACTCTTTGGCATCATTGTAGATGGACAGAAAGGTTGCAAGAATATTAGTTTTCATTTACTCCACTCCCAGTTTCCCTATACTAAAGTTGCTGTGGTACACCTGTCACAATGAACCAGTTGTGACACATCACGACCAACTAAAGCCCATGCTTTGTTTGGATGTCTCCAGTTTTTCCCGAGTGTCCTTTTTCTGTTCCAAGATCCCATATTACATTCGGTCATCACATCTCCTCAGACTCTTCCTGTCTGTGACAGTTTCTCAGACTTCTCTTGTTTTTAATGACCTTGAGATCTTTGAGAAGTTCTGGCCAGGTATTTTGTAAAACGTCCCTCAATTGGGATTTATCTGATGTTTTCTCATACTTAGACTCCTAATATGGCAGAAATCAAGAGTTTGGTGTCCTCTTCCCATCGGGCCTCTTCCAACCCCTTCCATGCTCTCTCGCCACTGCTGGCCTTTCTCTGGAGGGAGTTAATACTCTCAGGGTCCAAGCACACTTTTCACCCCCCGCCCCCGCCCTGCCCCGCCCACCGCAAGGCTGATGGATGGAGTTGGCTTAGACCTGTGTGACTTTTTTTCTTTAATCCCCTGGAGTAATCAGAGAGGCCAGTCCGGTGGGGTCCAGGTGCCCCCAGATCTTATTTGCTGGGAGAGAAAAGGAGGCAGGAGACAAAACAGGAAGGCAGGAGAGCGAGGAGACTAATAATAACGTTAAAACGTGGCTGTTTATTAAATGCGCAGGGATATACAGCCCAGGAATGCTCCTGCGTCCCCTCTCCGACATGTGGCGACCATATTTTCTTGGCCCAGCATTGAAATGTGTGGATTGGCAAAGGGCATTCCATTTTCTTTTAATACCTTTGAAAAACCTTCTGATTTGTGAATTTCTTGAGGGAAGGCTACATGGAGTTGCACATTTCAATAAAGACAGTTCATGAAAATAATAAAAGAACATGAAACCAGGCCTGGCTGGGTAACCCGTACTTGCCCTCTCATAAAAGGCTAAGATCTCTGAGCTGCTTCATAAAGCCTGCCCCAGCCCATCCTGACCAGGGGCACGGTGTGCAGAAAACAACCCCCTAATTGTCATTTAACTAAGGAGCACTTTCATACATGTCAATAAATATCTGTTGAATAAGCAAATGACTTTGAAGCAGGGATCTTAAGTCATCTACTCGAGGCTCGAGGGTATGTTTTTACATGCTCATGTGTGTTTTCATTGAATAGACAGTCAACATAAGACGTGAAATTTGATCTTCGGAGTAACCTACTATACAAATCAAGTAAATCCTCAAGTAGCGGGTTGAAGAATGTCCCGGAAAAAAGACGTGACCATGCTCGAATCCCCAGGAACCCATGAATGTGACCTTATTTGCGGAATATAATTAAGGATTTTGAGATGACATCATCATGGATTTAAGATTGGCCCTAAACCCAATAGCAGAATCCTAACAAGAGAAAAGAGAGGGAGATAGATTTGGCTCAGACACTTAAGGGGAAAAGGCCATGTGACGATGGTGACAGAGACTGGAGTGATGTTACAAGCCAGGGAACATCTGGAGCCACCAGAAGTTGTAAGAGGCAAGGAAGGATTTTCTCCTAGACTTTCAAGGGAGCACAGCCCTACTGACACCTTGATTTTGGATTTCTGGCTTCCAGAACTGTGCCAGAATAGATTTCTGTTGTTTTAAGCCACTAGACTTCTGGTAATTTGTTACAGCAGCTCTAGGAAACCAATACGCCACATAATCTTATCATTTAAAACTACTTAATAGCTACACGACTTTGAACAAGCGGCTTTACTCACTGGGCTCCCAGTTTATTCGCAGGCAAAACGGGATGTGTATTTCCAAAGCAATACTACAATATTTACAGGTGAAGCTCAGTAATTGATTCATGGCGCCCGGCAGCCTCTCGGAGCCTCAGTTTCCCCACCTCTAAAAGAGAAGCAAGAATCCCTAATCCTGTCCCTATTCTCAGGGCCGTTTTAGGACTCAATAATAAAATAAAAGAGGCTAAAACGATTTCCTCCTCTACGCAGCGCTCAAACGCTAAGCAGGCCACCAGCAAACCTTTGCCAAGGTTAGGAACCAGCGCCCCCTGCCGGCTTTGCATCGGTCTCTCCGGATGCCACTGAACAGCGTGCGTCTGCGCAGAATGCAAGCGCTCAGGCCCGCCCCTTGTGGGTGAAACTTCCTTGGGTTGCTGACTTAGCCACGCCTACTTCCGGAGGGGGCCGGTCTAAATCTGGAACACGTGACTCTATTCCGGCTCACCAAAGATGGCGGCGCCCAGAGCTGTAGCGTGAATGTGGTTGGTGAAAGACGCTGTCTCTCCGTGCTGGAATCAGAACAGTTGGGACTGTGCACCATGTCGCGACTGATCGTGAAGAACCTCCCGAATGGGGTGAGTACAGGACCTAGACCTAGGAATCTGTGGGGAATTTGGGACCTGTCGGGAGTCGGGGCGTAAGAGGGAGGTGGCTGGGGAGAACTGAGGGGTTTTCGCTCTGGGGCAAGACTCCGGGTGGATTTGGAACCTAAAAGAGGCAGGATCCTCGGATTATCTCCATTTGACAGTGGGGATTGAGGGGATTGTGACTGCTCAGGGTTTCACAGCCAACCTGCGGATACCTGACTCCCAGTCCGACAACTTTTCCCGGGGAGATACCAGTCCTTACCTGTGCTGAATGCCTTGCTCCCACAGCCCCTCTCGTCCGATCACGTTTCTTTTGTTTTTGTTGTTGCCTCACATGATACCTATCGTCCTTTCCCACTAGGGGAATGTCGGGGAGACAAATGGGGAGTAATAGGCTTAGGACCTGCGTTTCAATTTCCAATCCCGTCTTTATCGCAGGTCAGATTAGTTTGAGACAACGGAGTGGGTGTGAAGGGCTTTAAACGATTTATCCAATAAGTGGGGAAGGGCGGCCCAGCCATCTTGTCTGTTTCTCTAGAGTCCAATATAGAACCTGGCAGGTGGTAGGCATTCAAAAACACATGCCTAATAAATGAGTGAAGAAATAGACGAATGTGTGTGGTGTGAGATGATTGGGTGCAGGGTGCCCGCCTAGAATATCCTTACCTATTTCTCTATAACTTTTCTTGCATAGAGAGCCCTACGCCACTGGCGAGGCAGATAAACTTGTTCCCAAAATGCAAAATGTGCCATTTGAACGGTTTGAGGGATCTTCTGTATTCTTGATTCTACACCTTGGGAGTCTCTCTCCTTAGAAAGACTAAGAACACAAAGCCTATTTCTGTTTTAGGGCTGTCGTTTTTTTAACTTTACCTTTTTTTTTTACCTTCCCAGTGAATTGGCAAGGGTCGGGGGGATGTTGGCTATGACACAATAGCCAATTGTGTCAAACAGTACAGTAGTGTATGAAATGATAAGCAAAACCTGTTCCATCCCACCCTCCATCTTTCTCCAGGAGTAACCATTTTCTATGGCTTGTTTTTAGGACTCTTACAGGCATTTATTCACATCCAAATAGTCGCCTCCATTTCTTGGCCTATTAACCCCGATGACTGTCTGTTGGCCTCCCTGTGAAGGATGAGGAAACAATCTATTCCTTCTAGTCTATTTATTATTTTTAATTCTTCCATCATTTACCCTATTGATCAGTCCATCAGCTTTAGACAGTGTCTCTTGATGCCTCACTCTGATGAATGAGGATGGCTACCCTTCTCTTCCCAATTTCCATTTCATTGTGCCTGTCATTATGGCTGAGTCTCTTATCATTGCTTGTCTGGTCTGATGAATGAAAGAATAAAAACAATAGTAGTAGTTAACACTTTGAGAGCTTACTATGTGCCAGACACAGTTCCAGATGCTTTAGGTAAAGTAACTCATTGAATCCTCACCATAACCCCACTGGGTAGGGGACTTGCTCAAGGCCACACAGCTAGTAAATGTTCGAGCCAGAGCTGGAACCAAGTGTAATTGTAAAGGACACTCTGTCAGCCCCTCGTCTAAGGTCACCTTTGGGTTTCCAGCCCATTCTGTCACCTCGGCTCCGAGGCCTGCTCAGCTGCTCCCTTATCACACCCTTCTGTCCTAGATGAAGGAGGAGCGTTTCAGGCAGCTGTTTGGCGCCTTCGGCACTCTAACGGACTGCAGCCTGAAGTTCACCAAAGACGGCAAGTTCCGCAAGTTCGGCTTCATCGGCTTCAAGTCTGAGGAAGAGGCCCAGAGGGCGCTGGGCCACCTCCATAAGAGTTTTGTCGACACATCCCGCATCACAGTGAGTCAGCACGAACCTGGCCCTGCTTGCCTGTCAAAAGTGACCACTCGATCTTTCCCTCCACACTCCTGTCCCCTTTCAGACTGTGATGTCTGGGGTCTCCCTCACTCGTTCGCAAATTTTCATGCCTATGAATCTCCCAGGGAGCTTGTTAAGACAGGGCCCTTGTTAAAACTCCTGGGCCCTGTCCCCAGAGTTTCTGATTCAATGTGTTCAGGGAAGGTTGTGGACCCAAGAATTTGCATATCTAATAAGCTCCCAGGTGATGTGATGCTGCTGGTCCCAAAATGAGAACCACCAGTCCCCATCATTCACTCACTGTTCAGCAAGCTCTCAATGAGTGCTTAGTTGATGCTGGGAATTTAGAGAGAATGTGGTCCCCCTGGCCCGTGTCCTCATGGAGCCAGCAGCCTGTAGGCAGGCCGGGGGCCGGCAGGTGCACAGACTGCTTTCAGTCAGTGTCATCAGTGCTGACGGGGAAGCCCTAGGTATCGTTGAACAGAGGGGACCCCTTCCCTTGCTGAGAGGGAGGAGGATCAGGAAGGCTTCCTGGAGGAGGAAGTCCCACTCCTGTCACTCATGTATACTTAATGGCTTGGTAAAAACATCTGTAACTTCATCGAGAAGAAAACATGTTGGACAAGTACACGTCACGTGATCCCACTTATACAGAATCATACCCCTCCATCCCTACATGTGTGGTGTGTGCAGTCACATGGAAGGATTTTTACCAAAATATTAATTCCTCTCTCTGGGTGATAGGAAGGAATTTGGGGTAAAAAAAATTTTTTCACTTTCCTTGTACTGTCCTGTATTATTTGAATTTTACACATGGAGAACACGTCATTGTTACAAAAACTACAGAACTGTTTTGAAAAGTCTACATGAAGGAGTGTGACAAGGTGGCAGCCGCTTCTCCAGGTCGACCAGTGTCCCCGTTTACTGGGCAGGAGTGCCTACTGGGGCTCCCTGTAGGACCAGCTCTCACAAAGGTCATCTCGGGAGAGTGTAGTGGGGGCATTTAGAGCCGGAGAGGGCTATCACCTCAGGCTTAACACTCAGCACTCTTCCATGCTCCAGAGTGGTCACCCTGCGTTCCCAGCACCCCAGAGTTCTGTGGGGTCACTCGAGCTGGCTTCGCAGGAATGATAGTGATGCCAGCAGCCATTAGCTCCGCACTACTTTGTGCCAGACCCTGTGTCATCACATGTCACGCTTGGACTAGATGGCTGAGAACTTGGGCTCCAGACCCAGACCCTGAGTTCCAATCTCCATCCTGTCACTTTCTGCCTGGGTGACCTGGGCTAAGTTACCTAACTTCTCTGGGCTTCGGTTTCTTGCTCTGAGAAGTGGGAGTGTCATGGCTCCCCTCTCTCACTGTCGGGAGGCTGGCTGTGCAGCAGGTCCTCAAATTCTGTCATTTCATTCAATGTCGTTTCGTTACAACGCTGATGAGATGTCGTAGGAACTTAACTCCTGTTTATATGCATTAGCCTGTGGCAGTACTGGTTTTGTTATGTGTCGTTTTGCTTAAAGTCGCAGACCCTATCGACAGTAGGTGAGGACCTACTGTAGTCCTGCTCCGGAAGCTTTTCCTGGGTGTGGCATTCTCCAGGACCAACCACAGTAACTGGAAGGAGGAGAGAACCAAGGCTCGGGGAGGGATTTGCTTCAGCTGACTTAGCCAGTCAGCAGCAGCTGCCTTTTTAAAAAGCCCAAGCTCCTACGTGCTGAAGTGCAGCACCCATGCAGGGCACGGTGGCAGGTGTCACCATCGTCACCTTCTTTCTCTCATGCAGGTAGAGTTCTGCAAGTCGTTCGGGGACCCAACAAAGCCCCGAGCCTGGAGCAGGCATGCCCAGAAACCAAGCCAGTCCAAGCAACCTTCAAAGAACAAAGACTCCGTCCCCCGAGAAACCAAGAAAGTACGTAGAAGGTCACTCCCACCCACGTGCTCTGTGTCAAGGTTGTCACCCCTGAGGGAGGAGGGTCAGGCCAGGGAGCGCAGGGATGACCTGAGAATTCCTCTCCGATGGTTCTTGAAGGCAGACTTTCCCAAGGCACCGTGGTTCCGTCTCCCCTTACCCTTCCTCTGTGACCCTCACTGTCTGTGCCCTCTGTTTTCAGGAAGACAGGAAGAAAAAGGTAGCAGGCGAACTGGAGAAGGTGAGTCTGTCCTGTCGAAAAAGAGAAGGGTGGTCCCGGGGGGCTGTAGCAGGCCCAGACAGGGTGGAGGTCGGAGGTAACAGGTCGGCCCGGCCAGCAGAGCCCTGCCTGTCCTGGCCTCTTGCCACGTCTCCATGGCTTCTTAGTCTTCTTGTGTGATGAAGTGTCCATTCTGCCCTCCCAGGACTGACCCAGCAGACCCCAGGGGTCCTCTAGAGATCGGGGGGCATGAACGTGGAGGGTGCTCTCACCCGCCCCAGAGTTAGGAGAGGTGAGCCTGACCTGCGCCTTCTCTTCCTGTTTTCCCTTCTTCCCGCCACCCTGCTCCGGTGCCACCAGCTGAAGGAAGACACCGCTTTCCAAGAGTTCCTGTCGGTTCACCAGAAGCGGACGCAGGTGGCTACTTGGGCTAACGATGCCCTGGATGCTGAGCCCGCGAAAGGGAAGAGCAAGCCGGCCGACGATTACCTGAACTTCGACTCCGATTCAGGCCAGGAGAGTGAGGAGGAGGACGCCGGGGAAGGCCCGGAAGGTAGGGTCATCCACACCCACGTGTGTGCTCCCCATGGAGTGCGGGCCCCTGCATGCGTCCGGGCCTGCCTGTGGTGACATGAGGCCCCTCAGTGCCGCCAGGGACAGCTGGCCAGACACTGCTTTCTAGTTATCCCAACCAGTTATGTTGGCCTCGATTGATCCTGGTCACTTACTCTCTCAATCGGTCAGTCACTCAAATACTGAGCACCTACTATGTGCCAGGCATTGCTTTAGGCATTGGGGATACAGCAGTGAGCAAAAGACAGAATAATCCTGCTCCCCGCCCTCTCCATGGAGCTGTCAGCCCAGTGGAGGGGGAGAGAACTGGAAAGTCCACTATTTAGTGTATTACGTGACGATGAGCGCCACAGAGAGAAAGCAGGAAAGGGGATGGGCCAGTCCTCGGGGACAGCCTCCGTGGAGGCCAGCCTTGAACACAGGCCAGGAGCAGGTGAAGGAGTGAGCCCCCGTCCTCAGAAGGGGCTCCTGGTGTAGTGGGGAGGACACCGGGTGCGTGAGCCGTTGCTATCCAGAATATAAGTGCGGTGGTGGAGGGTTGGGAGTCGATTTTGGTTTAAAGCGAGCGAATGACTCCGACATGAATGTCATGTATGCTGAAGCTTCTGGTCAAAGCTGGGGCCCGAGGGCTCCCTGGGAGTTGGCGGGACACCGTAGGCGGGGGACGGGAGGGGACTGCGGGCAGAGGCACTGAGGAAAGGACGGATGGAGCTGGAGGGAGCTCCGTGTGGCTCAGCGTGGCTGGAGCCGCGGGAGCTGGAGCTGGGAGGAGAAGCCGGTTTCTGTAAATGACAGCTTAACCCAGGAGTGACCAAAAAGGACTCTATAGGTCACAACTGAAAGAACGCATCACTGAGGGCAGGACTCATGCAGGGAACGGCGTGGTTCTCAACACGTGGCATATAAAATATCAAAAGGCCCATCCGACTTATTTCTCAGAGGACTCACGGGGCTGCGTGGCCCAGGGTCCCTGGTCGCAGTGGGCATGGCACCTCATGCCCCACTGGTGGCACCGCCGTGCCATCTGCCGTCCCAGGCCTCTGGCTTGCTCATGACTGTCACCGTTTTCCCAGAGGAAGATGACCTTGAACCGAAGGCAGCTGTCCGGAAGGAGCTGTCGGACATGGATTACCTGAAATCCAAGGTGGTGAGGGCCGAGTCGCCATCCTCAGAGGAGGAGGAGGACGAAGAGAGTGAAGATGAAGCCGTGAACTGTGACGAAGGGAGTGCGGCCGAGGAAGAGGATTCCTGCGCCTCCCCAGCCCGGCAGGACGGAGCGGGGTCAGGGCCCGGCCCAGAGCAGCGGACCCCATCTGGGGACAAGAAACCACAGGAGACCAGAGCCGAGGTGTGTGTGGATTGGGGTGCGCTCGGCCTCCCGGGGAGGTAGCTACTGCATCTCCCTCCTGGGAGCCCCCTCTGCCTGGAGACAGCGCAGCTCGTCACGTCATTTGGGTCCCTGCTCCTTCATCTCCCGAGGGTCTCAGGGACAGCAGCTCTTCCCCTGCGCTGCCCTCCAGGCTTCCTGTCCGTTTCTCTGTCCCCATTGTTCTTCCTCCTCTTATTTTTTGTCCCTTCTAATTGTCACACCCGGTCCTTTTCCTCTAAAAATGTATGTCCCCGCAAAGTCCTCCTCAGGTGGGGCGAAGTCAGAGAGCTGTGAGTTCAGATCCCAGCTCTGACAGGGACAAGCCGTGGGACCCTGATCCTCATCTAGGATGACTTTCTGTACAACGCTGGTCTCTGTGTCCTGTTTCTAAAACCCCTGTAGTGGAATCAGGACATTTCAGATTTCAGAAAGATACCCCTATACCCTGTGTAAGCTAGCACCCCGGCGGGTCTGGGGCAGCACCCCACGATCAGGCCCGTGACTGTTTCTGCAGCAGTTCCAAAAACGACCACTCGCGCTGCGTGGGGTAAATAGCAGCTGCGATTCTCTCGCATCAGCTCAGAGCAGGTTTTGCTGACAGGTGAGTTCAAGTCCAGGCCGTTCTTATTGCAAGAGTTACAGAAAATTTAGGTTTTTCATTGCCATGAGGATTCCAGAATTACAGAAAAGATCCTGAACCCGTACTTCCTCTAAGATTGTTTTGAAGGTGGCGACAGAATGGCCATGTCTGCAAAGCGCTTTGCAGTGTCTGCCCAGAGTTGCCCTAAATCTGAGGCAGCGAATATCACCTTGCCTCAGGGCTCCTCCCACGCTGTCTGCCCCTCCTTGTCGCCTGCAGCCCCCTTTGGCACCCCCGCCCCCCTGACTCTGGCCAGACTGCCGTCCAGGGCTGGCATGAGACTTGCCGGCATTCCCGGCTCGCCGCGGCAGCCCGCTGAGGTGTCTGGGTCCACCTCTGCCGGTAGCCGCAACAGGAAGCTCACTGCGCTCATACCTGTTTGTTCTCCGCCATTACTCAGACAGAGAAACCGGCGATCCAGAAGGAACCCTCCACCCCCCACACTGTGAAGCTGCGGGGAGCCCCGTTCAACGTCACGGAGGTATGTGCCAGTTGCTGGGACAAAGACAAGGGATGGTTTCTAACCTCTTGCTGTTAATAAATGATAAAGCAGCCAGCGTTCTTGAGCTCAGAGGGCAGCAGATTTTTTTCTGTAAAGGTCGTATGGTACGTATTTTAGGCTTTGTGGGCCATATGCTGCACATCTCCTCTGCTGTACGTTCTTTTTTTTAAATAACCTTTTGAAATTATAAGAACCAGTCTTAGCCTGCAGGTCACATAAAAGTAGGCCTTAGGCAATACTTGGCCTGTGGGTCGTGGTTTGCCAGCTTTTGTTCCAGATCAGTGTTTTCTGTAATGTTTAAATGGTGTGTGCGTTTTTAAGGTTGGATACACAATGTCAGTTGCCTTCCAAAGCACTGCTAATTTGTACTCCCTTCAGCAATTATGAGCGGGCCCATTTCTGCAAACGCTGTGGATTCATCTTCATCAACGTGACAGGCAAAAATGGCATCTTCTTTTCACTTATATTTTAAATTATTAGTGATATCGGTCATTCTTTCACATTTGTACATCACATATGCATCCTTTTTAGCCTGATCATCTTTCACTCTTGTTCTTTTGAAGGGTTCATCTTTACTGATGGTCTTTCTATTTACTAATTTTTTAGAAATAAAACTTACCAAACTTCTGAGTAACATACACTTGGGTTATAGTAGATTTTCGGGGTTTTCTGGTAATTTTAGAGTCAGAAGATTTCAGTACCAACCATGCAGACAATCGCATGCTTTAATTTAAAAAGTATTAGAAGGCCTTTTGCAAATTAATACTTAAAAAATATCACTTCTTTTCTCTTCACAATTGAAAAAAACATTCTGTGTTTATATCAACCAAAAAGAAAGTTACCGTTAGAAATTAGATATGCCTAGGTTGAAAAGTGGAGGTTAACTCAAGATTAAACGTAACAAGCATGTCGAAATGGTAGAATATGATGCGTCATTAAAAAGAATGACATAGAAGATTCCCCAAGATGTATTATGAAGTAAAAATTGCAAGGCATAGAACAGTGTGAATAGATTTTTTTTTCCCTAGTAGACACACACACACACACACACACACACTCACTCATAGAGTATGCTGGATGTCCCAGTCGGCACCTAAAAATGAGAAAAAAATGATTTTTGGAAAATTTTGACAATTTGAATTTTTTTTTCCCCCAAATTGAAGTAATGGGAAAACTTCAGAGCTGTGTTGGACTTCTCCCATTAATTTTATGATGCTTTGATTTGTTTGCTGCCTGGACGTTATACACTTCTCATTGCTGGTTCTCTAAAGCACTTAACCCAATGCTTATGCAAAAACTGGTTTCAGTTTCTTTAATTTTTTAATAAAAAGCCAACAAGAGTGATCTGGGCATTGGAATTACGGGCCATTTTTGCTTTCTTGTTTGATATTTACTAAAATACCATACTCTGTGTTTGTGCGTTTTCAAAAATGTGTTTAAATCAAAATCACCCTCATGTCCAAAATAGGGAAATAGTTTAAAAAAAATTGGGGACCATCTACAGCAGCACTTAAGATGATCTGTGTCATCATCATGAAGTACCATGGGCAAATATTCCTGTTATAATGAGAAACAGAAAAAGCAAGATTTAACCCCAAATATTTAAAAAGTTACTCAGGGAAAAAAGATCAGAAACAGTGCCTTAAAATTCTGATGGTGACATGAATTACTATTTTACGTTTATAGTTACGTTCTTAATTTTTTTCCAACTTTAAAAACAAATTTTTTCCAATATAGACTTATTTAATGATAGAAAATATATATAGTTTAGAGAAAAGGGAGAAACTATAAAGGATGAAACACTTGAGTAATGTTTCCGAACTCAGAAATTTGCCCATGTTTCTTTATTTGGGTCATATATGTATATTTTTTATTGGATTAATAAAGGGGGAAAATTGTTTCCTTTTCCTTACAGAAAAATGTTGTGGAATTCCTGGCACCTCTGAAACCAGTGGCCATTCGCATAGTGAGAAATGCTCATGGGAACAAAACAGGTAAGGTCCAGGGCGTTTCGGGGTGGGGGCCACGGAGGGCTGGCCGGTAAAGATGAAATAGAATTGGGGTGACGTTCGAAGGGCGGCCGTTCTTCCCCGTCGTGGTCCCCGCTCTGCCCCTGGCAGCCTGGTATGTGGTCTTCACCCGTCACCCTTCTCTCCTCCCCCATCTCAGCCACACACATGCCAGCGGGCTCACCTAGTCTGTCCGTCCGTCCTTCCTTCTTGTCTTCCTTTCATTCTTTTTATTTTATTTTTTTTAGGTGAGGCAATCCTTGGTTGACCTCAGATTGCAAGGACCTCGTCAGCTTACAATCCCTTATTTTTTATTTTTTATGCTCATAGTTCTCAGTCTTCCCAGGTGGTCTCCCATCCAAGTACTAACCAGGCCCGACCTTGCTTAGCTTCCGAGATCAGACGGGCTCGGGCTTGTTCAGGGTGGCATGACTGTAGACCTCACCTAGTCCTTTAAATAGCTGTCTCCAGTCCTGGAGTCTGCCGTGCGAAGTCCCCGGGCAGCCCTGCGGACAGGCAGCGCTCCAAACTGCTGAGAATGTGTGGTGTTGACCCCACGCCGCCCTCTCTTCCTGGGCTTCAGAGCCCTGAGTCTGTCTGCCCTGGGGAGGGGAACATGCTGGAAGGAAGGGTCTGAGTGGGGTGGGAGCCGCCAGTGCCCACCTGCCAACCAGGCCGGGGCCTGCGGGACACGCAGCAGCAGAGTTGGCGCTCCACAGAGGACCATGCCACGGCCCCTAGGCAGTACCAAGCGTGGGCCGAGCGGGTGGGAGCTGCTGGACCCGGAGTCTGGGGCAGAAAGGGTTTCTGCTTCGTGGGTGGTCTCGTCACCCTCGAGGTTTTAGATCTCTGACGCTCTCCTCTGAGCACCGACGCCCTGCTCGCCAGGCAGGCCCATTCGCCAGCTGTCCCTCGCCTCACAGACTATCCAGGTGCAGTGCAGGGGAGGGGTAAGGAACCCCGCTCAGCTCCGCATCTCCGCCGGGCCTCTTGTAAGTCCTGGGACCTTGGCATCAGTTTCTCCATCTGTGCAACAAGGCAGTCCTGCCTCATTAAGTCGTGAAGATTCAGTGAGTTAATATCCACATGGCACTTAGAATAGCGCTAAACACCCATCGCACCCTCCGTGAGAGCCATAGTTACTATTGGTGGTGGTGCTGGTGGCACCCGTACTTTCACAGCATTTCAGAGAGCTGGCTTACAGGCATGCCGCTCCGAGAAGTAACAGAATGTCCCCACAGAAATGCTGCAGGCAGCCCCCAGAGTGGGACTCAGTAATGAATGTGAACTTCAGCCTGGGTACAGAGGTCCACTGAGGGCTTACAGCAAGGGAGGCCATGATCAGATTCTGAATGGGCCCATGAGGAGTCAGGTGGACGGGCAAGGGCTTTGCAGTTCTCTGGAAAGGGTGGGCACTGGGCTGGACTGGGCTGCGGCTGAGGAGGTGGAAGAGGAGGGAGGAGAATGGAGCATGTTTATGGGGATCGGCGAAGCATCTGGTTGCCGGTGCAGAGGGAGAATCTAAACAGCCGTGTGACAGAGACCAGAAACCCGTGGGCTGCGGCCCATGTTACAGCACTGCCACCTGTGAGCCATGTGCCCTTGGGCACTCCTAGAAAAGTGGGGGGATGACGCCTGCTCTGCTGCCCCACGGGGCTGAGGCCCGGTGAGTCAAGGATGGACCTGCTTCTGTGCCTGTCGTGGCCTCAGGGGCCCACGGGCAGAGTGGTCATGGAGATGGTCCCTCTGGCGCTGAGCTGGGTCACAGCACAGCCACCCTGTACAGACACATCTTTCCCAGAGAAGGCCATGGACCAGGTTTTTTTGTTTGTTTGTTTTTTTAAAGCTGTTGTTGGGTTTTTATTTTTTTAAATTTAGCAACACTTCAGACCTGGAGCGATCCTGTTTTTAGGATCATCTTTTCCCCTTCAATTGTAGTGACTCTGGGTAAAGCAGGCTGCCTTTTCCTGTCTCAGCTGGGGAACCTGAGCCTCGACTCCCTTTTAGAATCAGATACCTTCCTTTCCTGCAAAAGTCTGGCAGGCCCTAGTCAGGGTGGCTGAGGCTGGGAGGGAGGCAGAGGCCTCCTGTGTTTCTGACTCCTGCAGTCCAGGGTCTTCATGTGTAAGATCAGGCCACAGGGTCTAAACACTTCCTGCAGGAGGTGGGAGGGAATCTTTGCATTTTGGAGATTGGACAAAAATCGAGGCTTTTTTCCCCACTTTCTGCTCAGATTCTCCCAAACACCTGGCACAATGTGGGTGTTCCTCGGTGACTCCTGCGAGTATCTGCAGGACCTGCAGGTTTGACCTTTGTCATTGTCTTTCCCCAGGGTACATCTTTGTGGATTTCAGCAGCGAAGAGGAAGTAAAGAAAGCTTTGAAATGCAACAGAGACTACATGGGTAAGGGGCTCAGGGCAGCGGCCACATCCGCGTGGTTTCAGGGCTTCATTCATTTGTTCATTCATTCAGTCCACAAGTTTTATCGAGGGTCTGTTGTGTTCTAGGCACTGGGGAGATAGAAGCGAGCAGAACAGACCAAAATCCCTGCCCTCTTGTAGCCGACTTAGAGAAAACGGACAGAGGGGGAAGAGACGGGCAGGAAACAGGCCATGCCGTGGGAAAACACGGAGCGAGAGAGGGCTGGCGATGGAGGAGGCACGTTCGTAAATAGGATGACGTCTGTCGGGCCTCCCTGAGAAGGTGACATTGGAGCAGAACCTCAAGAAGTAGAGGGATTAAGCCCTGGCTTTGAGGGGCAGACGGTTCCAGTACAGGGAACAGCACAGGGAACACCATGCGTGAGTTCCTGGAGTAGAGAGGTCCACTGAATGATCCCCAGGATCTGACCTGTCCCTGGCACAGACAAGTGATTCAGGTCCAGCCGTCGGCCCCTCCTGAGACACAAGTTCTGTTAGGGAAGGCGGGAAACCTAAGCAGTCTGGTTAGTGAATCAGGTGGTGGGTATTTATTGAGCATCTACTATGTGCACGTGGAGGGGATGGTGGTGTCCGCGGTCTAATGGCCACAGGGCGATGTGTGTAAACACTTCACCAGCAGAGCAGGGTGACTGACTGACTCGCCGGTGTTGAGTTGTCACGTGTCGCTGTCCTACGGCAGAGCAGCAAGCAGTGCCAGACACCGTGCCGTGGAATTTAGAGGGTACGGCTCTGTGGACTGGGATGGCCCAGGCAGGCACCCCCCGAGGCTAAACTGGACTTGCCGGATGAGTGACGTTTGGGGATCAGGCCTTCCAGTGTAGACCGGCATTGGCTCCGGCCGCTGCCTTGGCTACAGTGTCTGGAAGGCGGCAAAGATAGGTTTGGAATCGCCAGCCAGGAGTCGCTGGCACGTCCCGGGCCTGCCCCGCAGCCCTGACACTTCTCCTCATGCAGGGGGCCGCTACATCGAGGTGTTCAGGGAAAAGAATGTCCCCACAACCAAGGGGCCCCCGAAGAACAGCACCAAAGCCTGGCAAGGCCGAACACTCGGGGAAAACGAAGAGGAGGAGGACCTGGCCGACTCCGGCAGGCTCTTTGTGCGAAACCTGCCCTACACCAGCTCCGAGGAGGACCTGGAGAAGATCTTCTCCAGATATGGTAGGGACGCAGTCCCCCGGCACGGGGCGGACACCCGGAGCTCAGGGTATGAGAGCAGGCGGCCGGGTTCACGGCCTGGCGACTGCCCACTCCTGTCTCAGTTTCCTCATCTCTGAAATGGGGCTGAAGATCCCTGAGCTGCTGTGGGGATTCAAACATGACGTGTAGTAATAGGTCACGTCACAGACCTCCTTTGCTGTCTGACCCAGACTCTCAGCCTTCCCTCTCTGAACTCAGAACAGATGGGCTTTGGTACACTTTCTGCACTGTCCCGTGCTGTCCGAGCTCTCGCTTGAGCAATCGAAGTGCAGTAACTGTGCAGGTGTGAGTACAGCCTGAACAGCTGCTGTCTAGATGGGTTTGCTCTCCAAACTGAGCACCCAAACAGACGTAACAGCGAGGGTGATTTTTATCGTCATTACCATCGGCTGTTATTATTTTGCAGAACAGGAACTTGAAGACCCATAGTTAACTGGTCACACAGGGCCGTGTTTGTTTGTAAGGTCATGGTTGTGGAAGGGATGCAAGTTAGGGCTCAAAATGGCAGGGAGGTCTTGATGCTTCTGAGATCCCCCGGGGGGCCTCCCACTTGTGTTCAGAGGCCAGTTCGGGGTTGTGGGCGATCAGAGCGTGGTTGAGTGCCTGGCGTGGGCCCTGAGTAGGCCAAATGGGTAGAACCTTCCAGCCAGTGGTCCCTGCTTGCTGAACCCTTCTGCCCAGGCTAGTGCCCTGGTGTAAAGCAGAACTGGCTGCACAGGAAAAGGGGTCATCAATAGACTGCAAGTATCCATTTCTGATGACAGAGACTGAGGAGGACATGGTCACACCCCGGTGTTCAGAGTGGAAGCCGACTCGGAGAGATGTACTCTAACAAGCATGATGACAGTGTCACTGCTCTTCTAGGGCCCTGACATAGCAGGCCCTGTTTAGTACACTTCACGTTAATTACATGAACGCATTGGACTCCCAGCTG